CTAAGAATTGAAAAAATAGTCTACAAAATTCTGACACTGAAAATTTTTTGAAAATTTCTTCTATTGTCAAACTTTCAGAAAGTAAAACAAGCTTTTCACTCTACGTGTAAGTGAAAGAACATCAAACAGAAACCTGGAACCTACTCTGAATCGTAAGCCCGTTCTGATACCAATTCCTAAACGTAAAATCAAGCATCATTCAAGCCAAGCACAAACTTAAGAGACACTCATATAACGTGGTTCACCCTCGAGAGCTACGTCCACAGATGAAGTGCACGAGAAGATTTACGGACAACTCAATACTAAAAGCACATTCAAGTAGAAGCCTTGGGGTATATTTATACCCAAAGTCAACGACACACCTATTTATAAATAGCTATAACTTGAGGTTACTTCTTAACGGGAGTTATCCTCAACTTATTCTACTTGATCTCTATCTTTGTAATTTTATAATCAGATATTGCCAAACAAATTCAATTGAAATTTGTTCAATTTCTTTTCAAAGCATTTGTTTGATCTTGACAACATTAACAATCTTACATCAAAAATATAAAAAGTAGAAAAAATTAAATTTATTGTAATCTACTTGTAGATTTGAGTTTTTGATACAATTAAGATTCAAATGTTTGATGGCTTTAAACGTTTATTGATTCCATTCAAAGTGATACTTAATATGAACAGATTTATTATTATTTTAGAATATTAATTACATTTTTTTTAAAGTTTTAATCAAGGTGCTTGAAATAAAAACAAATAAAAAGATAGTATTGATAAAACACAAACATAATGATTTAGATATGCTATAGAGCATTATAATCTATAGTAAAAACATCTACATCAAATTTTAAGTTAAGGTGATTTATGTATGACAATCCAAGCTATGACACATACACAATATCTTAACACTCTTATAATCATCTCTAGTTGATTACAACTAAAGTACAATTTACTCAAAATAAAGAAAGATTTGATATATATTGGATAATATATTATTATCATATATATCATTTGTGTGCTTGATATATATTGAATAATAGTGTTAGTTGATATCTCGACATCAGCAATCCATGTGCTGCTTAGATGAACATAACATGTGTTAGTCAGTGTGTTAATTTAGAACACGTTTGTAACATGTGGATTTGTTAGATTGGTGTGAATTATGATAGTTGATGTGTTAGTTTGTTTATAAATTGAAAACATCACGTTTGTGATCTGTGTGCTTATTAATAATATTTGTCATGTCAACTATGCATTATGAGTGAAATGAATGATGAGATGAAATCTTTTTTTCTTATACATTATCTATGTAAAAAAAAGAAAAATCATTTTTGGCAACTCTCATCTTCTGAATTTGTGTTTCATATGCAAGTGAACTATGTTCATAATTTTTAATGTTACAATTATATTTAACTTGAGTATTTCTTAAATGTGAAATGATCTTGAATGTAATTGCAAAAAAATGATAATAAATTTTGTATATGTAGAAATATATAAAAATTATTGATAGAAAAGATTACATTTTATTTTGTACTAAACTATGATATGAAAATTACTTGATATGAGTGAGAATAAAATTTGAAGAAATCAATTATAGATGAACATATAAAGTAGCATATCATTAAAAAATAAAAATTTTGCATGAAAAAGCGAGAAAGTAAAAAGAAAACAATTTGGGAAGATAAAAATTAAAACTTCATCATTGAAGATTCAAGTACAAAAAAACTAGTTTATAGTGAAATGCAAACACAGTTAAAAAATGACTTCATGATATTGAAGATGAATCAATTTTTGTTAAATGAACATAATGTAAGGTGAAAGCATTGAAGAAATGTAGATAGATGAAGGTCAAATCATAAAGATGATTATACATTTTATCCAATTTTGTGTTTGTGATTTTATCGTAAAATTTTTCATAAAATTCTACACCATCTATAAAACTCTTACATGATACATTACATGATAACAAATGTTGTTAAGCAAAGTGCTTGAACTTCATGTAGTAAAATGCAAGAACATTTTCAGCGAAGTATTCAAGCTATTGATTTTCTTCAAATCAAAGTAATAAAAATGAGTAAATTGAAGTAGAAATCTATAAACACATCAAAGAATTTTAACATATTCAAGAATCTGACATGGATTTGACCAAATCAAATGCCCTACATGTATACAAACAATACTTGAAAGATTTGTATACACAAGTAAATAATTATAAGCATGTCATCCATTATGAATGAAGAAAATGCAATAGTTCAATAAACTTCAAGTGTTTATGATATCATTCTCAATGTCATCAATCAATGCTTGAGATAAATTTGTGAATGAAGTTGAAAAGATAAGAAGATAGATATGATTATGCATCATCATCAAAGTCAACATTAAAGTTTAAAAACATGATTTATGAATCATTGAATCTACATTTGCAAGAAGAGTATAAAATTATGAATGGGTGTGAGGAGTAGCAAAAATCCATTAGATTTGTTAAGATTAGGCATGTGAAAAGATGTATCATATTGTAATTTTTTCAAACTCAACCAAGATCTCAACATCAAAATATGAAAACAAGATTTATGAATAGTTGAATCTTTATTTGCAAGAAGTGTATAAAAAAATTTATTGGTGTGAGGAGTAGCAAAAGTCCATTAGATTTGTTAAGATAAGGCATGTGAAAAGATGTATCATATAACTTAGTTTTTCCAAACTCAACCAAGATCACAAGCAGCAACTGAAGCAACAACTTTTCAACAACATGAAAAATTTAGATAACAAACAAAAATAACCAAATAGTTTTAGAATAGAAAGATCAAAATGAAATTCACGTTACTGCATTTTTAATTTCACAAAATCAAAAAAATCATGATTGAAAGGAGATAATGGCTAGAAGCTGATAAAAAGAGCAAAAATAAATCTAAATGATAGTTAAATATGAGTAAAAAAACACGATCTAATTTTTTTTTACAAATAGAAAATCTTTTATCACAAAGTATTGCAATGAAATTAGTATCAATGTTGATGAAAGATATCAATGAAGAAATGAAATTGCCAAATGGAAATACCAAAAAATCAGGACATCATGAGAGTATAAGGTGGATTATAAAGATGATAATCTTGATAAAATATTTTTAAAAAAATTATCAAAGAGTCATGTGAATCACAATATTGAGATTAGATTTAAAAAATGTAAAGCTCAAGGAAAAAACTGTTGACAACTATATTTTATGCAGTAATTATCACAAATTTTATCAGAAAATAATGAAAAATAAATATTCATGATTTCATATGAATGATTTGTTTGATCAATCTTTGATAATTCATCAAATAGCATCTAAAAAGCGGTTAAATTAAAATTTGAATTGCAATGGATGACATTCACAAGATTGTTTTTTTGTTCTAAGTATATTGATTTTGCATATTTGTAGATGTCTTTTGATTTTATGGATGAATCTGTCAAATTGATGAGATTGATGAATGATAATTTTGTCTTTATATAAACAAATATATATATTTCTACTTAATGCTTTAAAATATTTCAAAATTTAAAATAATCAAGGGCAAAATTTTAAAGAATTATTTTAGGTTTTGCAAAGAAATAAATTATATACCAAAGCTTCAAAAAATGAGTTTGGCTATCAAAAATAATAACTTCGTCATAAAGTTAGAGACTAAGTAGTCTTAATAATGAGTGAAAAGACAAGATTTACTAAAAAATTAACAACACATGAACATTATATTTAACCAAACAATTATTGGTCTTGTGAAAAATTTGTGATAAACTTGTGAAAAATTTTACTCTTTTTTTTAAATTTTTAACATTTATGCTCGTTTAAGATAAAGAATGAAGATGAAAAAAAACTTAATTTTTTTTTTCAAGCATGTACATATATATTTTATTACAAACCTCTCTATATAAGTAATATGATTATAATCAAATCATCAGCTAAAAAATGATGTGTAATATATAACAGTTTGTGGCATGATGAAAATAAAGTTAAGATGAATAAAATTCTAATTTAGCCAAAAAAATAATTTTATCTATTTGATTCAATGATGAGTACATTATCATCATATGAATTAACTTAAAAATCAGCTAGGCATCTAGTTAATGCATCCTTGATATTTAGAAATTTTAGGGTATATGCAATAAGGAGATTCTTCACTTAAGGTCTCTCAAACACCTTTGTTTCGAGCCAACACTATTGAATAGCCAAGAGGTGCTTGATCCACATTTGTGACCTTTTCAGGTGCCCATGCTTTTCAAAATGATGGACAAATACTTGTGTTTCGTCACACCACTAAACATGGAATGAACCGAGCTCTGAAGAGAGGGAAAGGGCCATGGAGTTTCATCAGGTATCACAGATCACACAAAGTTGACCAAGTTGGAGAGCAATTCATTCTTGGGTAGAGTGATGCATCTAAATGTATGCATTTGATTGCTAATCACAAACATACCTTGCACCTAGCGTGGATGGAACTAAAGTGCAAGCACACTATGCTTTTCAATGTCATATTGACCAGATACATACACCAATACTCAACACTTCACACTAAGTGTTGGAGGAGGACATACCATGCGATTTTATCAAAATTTACTACGACCTAAGTAAATCTACCCTTAATTTCTCACTGATGATTTGAAGCACAATTCTTGTTAGATCAATTCATATAGACACAGCGACAACTATAACCAGCTACATAAATGATCTAGGTCACCATAGCCAAGCCAACAATTTGAGCAGTGTAGAAGCCAACACATCGGTATCATCAAACTTGGATCCTAACTCAATACCATTTGTAGCTAACTATACTTTCATCATAAACAAGCTGCTTAGCAAGAAGCAAAGGGATTAGGTTTTGAATTTACTACTTAAGTACAAGGATGTGTTTGCTTTCTCCATCAAGTATCTAGGTAAGTGCAAGGTAATGCAATTCCTCATTCATCTGGTTGATGAAAAATCAATTTACAAGAGAAGACATTGCATGAATAAACAAGAATGCTAGCTAGTGGATGAGAGGTGCAAGGAGCTTCATGACGTAGGGCTGATCCAACCCTCTTACTCTGATTTTGCAGCCAGTAAAGTTATACCGGCAAAGAAGTAACTAGCTTATTACCATTCCACGTGATTATCCATTACTTTGCGATTCTAGAGGCATCACATACTTTTGACTACCAGACCCGACCAATTTTTCTTTTTCATTTCAAAAACTCGCGATAAACGGCTTAGGCAAGTCGATCAGAAGATAAATTTTAAGAAGTGTGAGTTTGTTATCACATTATTTGTTATCTAGGACATTGTATTCTATTCAATGATATAATGGCTCATTGTAATAAGGTGGCACAATTTCCACATTCGATTTACAAATCAAGGAGATAGAGATCAAGCACTGTCGAGAACGAGACTCACTCACCTACGTCGGGAATTTATGATCTTGAAGTGGACCCCGGAAGCTGAAGATCACCAGTATATTCCAAACCGATATCCTGTCTGGGTTAGGTTCCCCGAACTGACGACCCTCCAGTCTCAATGGTTACCGGAACTCGCCAGCTTTCTAGGACCTGTTCTACTCCCACCAAGACGCATGCCAAAAACAACGCAACGTATGTGCAGGGTGTGCGTGGAGTGGACACATGGCAAAACGCCTCCAACCAGTATTGTAGCTGAGTTAGGGAAGGAAGTGGCACGAATTCCAGTGGATGTCACACATCTTCCAAGCTCATGTTTCAAATGTCGAAAGCATGGACATGTTGCCAAAACCTGCCCAGGAGATCCGCTGTTTCCGCAAACAAAAGGAGGAACGAACGCAGGAGAAAGACGCGAGCAGCGGCCTCCAAGAAACGCAACTGCACAACAGGTGAACAAGGCAGGAACCAGACCACCAGAGGCGTCAAAATTGCAAGAACCAGCCACGGTTCAAACAGCAAACATGCCTCCTCGAGCTCAACCATCAATTTATCAACCTCCTGCAATGAGGAAACAGGAGGCTTTGCGAATTGCTAACCTATCTCCACTTCAAGCTACTTCTACCGAACTTCCCCAACCAGAACGACGACCATCGAGTGGAGGGTCCAAGAAAATTTCCCGACTCGAAATCGTTCCTACGGTCTCTCAAGTTTCACCTGCTGCAGTGATGAGGGAACAGTTAACGATGCCCGCTGCTGGCAACATTTCTGCTCAAAGATCCCAAGGCATGGACCAAACAGAGGTGTTACGTAGCCCCAACCTCCTTCTAAGGTGGAAGGATGCACCAAAGGAAGCCCCCACCTTCCAGAGTCTCAAATCTGTTGAGAATGCAGAAGAAGGCACAGCCACGTCACCGGCACCGGCGCCTAGGAGGTGGAAGCAAGCGTCCAGACGGAAAAAATCTTTCACGACCGCGGCTACTACCGAAGCTACAGGAGCAAAACGCAAACTAACCCCTGAACTTGAATACCGGAACAAGATTCAAAGGGGACTTGGCAGCCCGGCTGAGGTAATTGTGTCGTCACCTCCTGAGTCGGCTCTCGTCCCCAAGCAACTATTGCCCATCCTATCATCTCCTGAAATCGTGTCCAACACGGGTACGACTCTGGAGATAGAGAAGAGCTGCAGCGAAGGCAAATCGGAACAGCAAGGGAGGATGACCTCCCAGGACCTGAACGCCCTGACTGGTGCAGAAGACGAGAACGCAACCGACCAGAAAGCGGGTCCCAGACCTAAGAAACAGAGCGCCAAAGAGTTCCTCGCAGCATTGGCGCCAAAAACCCGAGGCATGAAAACTGTCTCGACAAAAAAAAGGGAGACGAGGGCAAGAAAGGGAGCAGAAGAGGGGTTGGCTGAAATACTCCCCCAAGCTGCGCCTCAACCCTGTAACTCGGCGGGAAGTCCAGCGCTCGCTGAACCGACTACAATTGATGAAAATTCTACCACCATGCGCGGCCGGGCGGCCTTTAGTGAGCAATGAACGTCATCCCTGCCTAGCACCCCCTCTCCCTTAAACTAGTGTACTGGAACGTGGGGGGTTTAAACGGGACCACTAGAAAATACAAAATAAAGGAGCTATACTACAATAGCGAGGTTAGACCAGACATTCTAGCAATCCAGGAGCACAAGCTTGATGAATTTGCTATAAGTGCAGTAGGCAATCTTCTCAGTCGTGACTTACGAACTGTGTGCTCCCCGGGTCAGAAAGGCACGAGGGGCAATGGCACTGGAGGGACGGCACTTTTTATTCACAAGAGTTTCAGGATCATGTCATCTGGCATTTCAGAGGATGGCTACGTAACGTGGGCCCAGGTGACAAAAGAGGGCCATGAATTTTTTGTCGCTTCAGTCTACGGACCTCACTCACCAGGAGCAAGGGCAGCTCACTGGACCGCACTGCGAAACATGTTTCCCCATACCGACATTCTACTTTGTGGAGATTGGAACATGGTACAACAGCCGGCTGACTCGTCTGGAGAACGCCAAGTTCTCAGTGGTGCGGAAGCCACGGCATTCCTGGAGTTCAGTGCCAAACACAACCTCCAAGACGTCAAAGAGCTCGCGGCTGAGAACCAAGGCCCTGTGCACACACGTTGGAGTGCATACTGAGGCAACCCACGCTGGGCACGGCTAGATCGGATCTACGTCTCACATGGCGGGAGATGGCTCTCAGCGGTGAATACTGTTACACATCAAGCAGGGAATACCTTGTCTGATCACTTTCTAGTCTCGGCAGAACTAGAACTTGGTATTCTCCAGTGCTCAGATGGGAACTTGTCAAGGAACGGCCCCACGACCTTTAAGTGGAGCCCAGCTCTTATGGGTAAAGATGTCGTGAAGGCAGGAATCCAGCGCATCTGGACGAAGCTGGCGCACAGGAAAGATGACCCTCGCAGAATTTATAATCGTGGGATGATGCAGGTCAGGAAACTCCTACGCACGAAACAACGTGAACAACGAGGAAGACTCTCGGAGATCCAAATCCTCGAAAAGGAGATCTTTAACCTACACAGCACGCGACCAATGGAGTTAACCCCCTCCCAACTGACTCGGCTCGATTGGCTGAAAACGGAGAAACGGATACGTGAACACGAGAGGGACGTCCAGATTCGACTTTGGTCACAGGTAAAGCACCTCGGCTTGGGAGATGCTCCCACTAAATACTTTTTCAACATCCATCAACAAAACACAGCAAGGGCTCAAATTCTGCAGCTGAAACTGTCAACGGGAGAGGAGACGAGGGACCAAGCAAGAATCCTATGTGCTGTCGGTAAGTACTATGCTGATCTCTACTCAGCGCAAACTTGCACCGAAGAAGACATTTACGTTAGGTCTGCGATGATGCAACGGGTGGAGAACAAACTTACAGACGCGGAACGACTGATGCTGTCCGCACCTCCGACAGTCAAGGAAGTCGAAGATGTCTTGTTCTCACTCCCAGCGAACAAGGCACCAGGCGTAGATGGTGTTTCGGTGGAAGCGCTTAGGAAAACGTGGCCTGTTATGAAAGCGTTTTACCTCGCCATGGTTCAGAAGTTTTGGGAGGAGGGTATTCTTGCAGAGTCAATTACAGAAGGAATGATACGGCTCATACCCAAATCTGTAAACAAAACTGAACTCAAGGATTGGCGCCCCCTCACAATGCTGAACACAGATTATAAAATAATCGCAAGACTACTAGCAAGCCGTCTTCAGGTGATCCTTCCAACGCTGATCCTGCCACAACAAACAGGTTTCATCAAAGGACGGAACATGCTAGACAACGTGTTAACTCTATGGATGGCGCAAGATGCCGCCAAGGTGACAAGCAGCAAGGGCATGTTTGTCAAACTCGACTTTGAGAAAGCCTATGATAGAGTCGAGCATTCTTACCTTTGGGACACCATGGAGCATTGTGGGCTTGGGGAAAAATTCATCTCCCTAGTCAAGGGTCTGACGGTGGGAGCCTCTACGGCGGTACACGTTAATGGGGCTAAAACCTTCAGGTTTCCCGTGGAGAGAGGTGTCAGGCAAGGGTGCCCCCTAGCTCCACTTCTGTTTGCCCTTGCGACTCAGCCACTCATGACAGAGATGCGCCACAACTTCTCTCTTGGAAAACTCAAAGGATTCAGAATAGGAGAGTCAGTGTTCATCGATTACTCTCTATTTGCCGATGACATGGGAGTGTTTATTGATGATTCCTTCTCCTCGTTCCAAGAACTACGTACTGCACTATCAAAATATGAGGCAAGTAGTGGCGCACGACTAAACCTAGCTAAATCGTCAATTCTTCTGTTAGGAATGGACAGGCCCCCCGACTGGTTTCCGCTGACCGGGTGTTCCTTGATGGGAAAAGGCGAGATTCATAAATATCTTGGAGCACCAGCTGGTCAGGAAATCACAAGAATACAGAGAGACGAATTCTGTACCAAGAAAATTTCCAGCACACTTGGTGGATGGGAGACACAGCTGCTTTTGTTTGAAGCCAGAACGATCCTACTCCAACACGTGTTACAAGCTCAACCCACTTTCTACTCTTCTCTGGTTCGACTGTCATCACAAACATGCAGAAGAGTGGAACAACTCTACAGACACTTTTTGTGGGGATACAGCAAGGAGGGAAAAGCAAAAATTGCTCTGGCCAGATAGGACATAATGTGCCGACCCAAGTCGAAAGGCGGATTGGGCATCAGAAGCCTCAAGGACACGAACTCCTCACTGATGGGTAAGTGGGTAGGAGCTATTGTAGACGAAAACTCTGGTGGTTGGAATTTAGCATTGGCAGAGATAGTGAAACAGTGCCGACTCAAGTACAGTAGAAACATCATTCGTGGTCACTACTCCCTATCAGATCTGATACTAACAAATCAGCCCCTCCACTTGGTTGGAACTGAGGTCGGACTAGCTCTGATTAATTGTTGGAAAACTATACAAGCTGATATCTCTTGGGACCCTAGTGGTGTCCACCTCCCTGCTTATCTCACTTTGAGAGATACTGTAAACCTGATATTAAACGATCAGGAAGGAGTATTGTCAAAGATAAAGGAAGTGATGGGCGAGCTACGTAAACTAAGAATCACGACAGTAGATACGCTATGGACCAGAAGGGTAGTACTGGAGGAGAAATATGTTGCAGGTCAGGTAAATCAAAACTTGAGAGAGGAAGGCTCCGTTATTCACGTCTTTTTCCAGAAAATACTTTCTGCTCAAGGGATTAGCAACTCCCCCCTAAGAGCAAGTCATGGGTGGAAGTTGAGAGGAAAACCGATTACAGGCAACTTCACAGACGCTGCCCGAAATTGGTATAAGGGGAAGGTGCAGGTAACATCACCGGAGACCTACCTCAACAGAAAGTGGAGCACAAACAAAAGCGAGAAAGAGTGAGAAACGGTGTTTTCCAACCTCTGGATGAGCAGAAACACTAACAGGGACAGAATCTTCATGTGGCGGGTACTACAACATGCACTTTACTCCAACGAACGAGCAGCCAGAATATGACATGGGGACGGAAGGTGCCCAAGGGGATGCGAACAATTGGAATCTGTTCCTCACATCCTGTACGAATGCCCATTTGCGAAAAGTGTTTGGGGAGCTGCTGCTGGTCTGAAGTGGCCAAGGACAGAAACAACAAACATTTTTGTCCAGTCGAAGACCCTACTACAGCTCATCGAACTCGGACTGGCAACGATAAAAGGTAGCTCTATTCCTGCCCAATGGATGTTAGTGACAGAAATATGTAGACACTTATGGTTAAGTCGTAATCAGAAATTCTTCTCGAATCTACAAGTAGAAGTTACTGTCCATAGCAGAGTTAGAAATACCCTTGATAAGGCTATTTCTCAATGGAAGGAGTCAGCAGCTGACCCTCCACCTGAACAATGGCTACAAATCGCAAAAACGCTCCAAGAAGCCATTGCAACGTCGATGAAAACACGTATTGAACGTTGGTTAGACTCGGTATTAGAAAATATACAGGTTCCTGAGGGAAGGTCGGAAGCCCCCCACACGAAGGAAGCAGCGACCGGACTGGACCGCACTCAACCCTCCCATGTGAGGGTTGAACATGTTTTAGGTTACTAGAAGCTCAACAATCGCACGATGCAAAGGGATGGGCACCATCATGCTGGGAATCCTTTTTTTAAACTTGGACTGCAGGAAGAAAACAGTGAACACCTGGGCCGGGCAGTAACGGGAATCTTTTTAGGAACAGCAGCTGCTCCACCACCTGCGCCGGCCCAGGCCCTCTCACTGTTTCCTTCCTGTTGTCTCTGCTAAGTTTAAAAAAAATGTATTTTTCTGAACCTGGGTACGTGGGCCCTTGTTCTCGGGTATGACGGGTGTTTCCTCTTCCCTTCAGCTTCGTGTGCAGGTTGTGGACCGCAGGTTGTGAACGAGGGTCAGACACGGTCCCCCTTGCTTTCGGTCTCCGGTTGGCTTGGCGCTCGGCCGTTGGAGCGCGTCTAGCTGGTTTGTGCTTTGTCCGCCTCTGTGCGTTTTGTGCATGTTGGTTGTACTATGTTTTTTTCTTAGCGCTGGTGCGCAATAAACGGCTCTCCTGCAGTTTTCTGCAGCTTCCAACCAATAAGGTGGCTCATCTTGAAGATGTTTGATACTATTGATCTGCACATCTTGAGGAGTTTCATTGATATGTGTAACTATTAGCGTATCTATGTGCAAGATTTCAGTATCATTGCATATCCTCTTTATGCGTTGTTGAAGAACAATGGTACTTGGACATTTTGTGAAAATGCTCAACACGCTTTCAACTTGCTCAAAGAAAAGTTCGCAGAATACTCCGTACTTAATAGGCTTAATTTCAGCAAAGTTTTCATCCTACACACCTATTGGATTGCTTTAGGCATTGGCAGCATACTAGATCAGCATGATGAGGAAAGCAATAAGTATGTCATTGCTTTTGCGCCTAGAAGCAATAACAAGGTCAAAATCAACTACTCTTACTACAAATGTATACAAGACTAAATGTTGTATGTGTGAAATAGATTTAGAAGTAGTCAAGAAGTTAATCTTGATTAGTTTAAAATAACTAAATTTAGCTAGTTATAACTAAATTTATGAAGTTATAACTTATGTTATGTTAGTTATGTTTAACTATAATAACTATACTTGGCAGAATAACTAGAGAAATTTTGGAATATTTGAGTGATCACTTCTATTTTGTCTTGTACAATAGTTTGGATTCTAAAATAAAAAACTTTTGATTTCATGTTTAGCTTTTATTGGTTTGACTAAGTAATGAGAACTTCATTGGTTGGACGAAATCTAATGCTGACTTAATGGCAAGTGAACGTTCTAGAAGTTGAAAAAGTACAAATGACATGTCGCCACCTCATTATATGAATTAATAAACATCTAGAAGGTTTAGTATACTAAAGAAATGTTGCCACATATTTGTAACTAGTCAAACATACTATGATTTATCTTTGTTAAAGTAAGTTAGATAGAAATTATCAT